GCCTCGAGCACCGCCCTTTTGATATAGAAGGCGCGCTCGTTCTTCCATTGCGTCCAAACACGCTTGAAAGTTTCAATGCGTTTCTGGTCCTGCATGACCTCTTTCAACTGAATCAAAGACACTATGTAGTTCTCTGATATGACCGCGTGCAAGACCAAGATCCTCTTCTCAAAAGATGGGTAGAAATTGATTTCGTTGTCGTCAGCTTCCATGCACATGCGATTCCTGGTATCCTCGATGTAGAGCTAATGAAGTATTCAACGGAAGGGAAAACATGGAACATGGCATGCAGGGAAGGAGCAAATTAGGATGCATGGGGAGGAGGGCAAGCTTTGAATGGTGCAAACAGAGATGAATGCAATGCAAGGCATGCAGGGAAGGTGCACATTGAGAAGCATGGGGAGCAGGGCATGCTTTGAATGGGGCAAACAGAGATGACTGCACTGCAAGGCATGCAGGAAAGGTGCAAATTGGGATGCATGGCGAGCACGGCATGATTTGAATGGGGCAAACAGAGATGACTGCACTGCAAGGCATGCAGGAAAGGTGCAGGTTAGGATGCATGGAGAGCAGGGCATGATTTGAATGAGGCGAACAGAGATGAATGCAATGCAAGGCATGCAAGGAAGGTGCAAATTGGGAAGCATGGGGAGCAGGGCATGCTTTGAATGGGGCAAACAGAGATGGATGCAATGCAAGGCATGCAGGGAAGGTGCAAATTAGGATGCTTGGGGAGCACGGCATGCTTTGAACGGGGCAAACAGAGATGGATGCGAAGCAAGGCATGCAGGGAAGGTGCAGATTAGGATGCAACGGGAGCAGGGCATGCTTTGAATGAGGCAAACAGAGATGGATGCAATGCAAGGCATGCAGGGAAGGTGCAAATTAAGATGCTTGGGGAGCACAGCATGCTTTGAACGGGGCAAACAGAGATGGATGCGAAGCAAGGCATGCAGGGAAACAGATTTACGGGTTGGGGAAGGGCAACTGACCCTCAAATTCGTGGCAGATGGCATCCCATGTCTCCTAGCGATAGGCAGTCCTTGTACAGCACTCTCCGCCACACACACGGGCTCAGGTTCCTGGGAGGGTAGCTCGCTGGATATCGCCTGCAGAGGTGGAACTGGCATTCCTACTCCAGCAGAATTTCCCAGGGGCCTTGGTGCTGCCTTCAGCTCCGCAATCTGCCTATTCGCTTCCTGCAATGCCTGAAACAATTGCTGCATGGACGCGTTGGGTGATACACCAGCACTACTGAAAGGGAATACAACTGCCGCACCCTCTTGCTTGCACCTTGCGGATTCTCCCGCGACTTCAGGCCCAATATCTGTTTTACCAAAAGCCTCACAACTAGGTCGACCGTCGCCTGGCTGACCTCCAGCACCAGGGTTGCCACCGTCAGCTGCGCCCTGGAGTCCGACCTGCACGCCACTACTCCGCTCAAAACCCTGCCCAATGCCCCACTCCTCATCGTCACTTCCTCCATGCTTACGGTTGTCAGCAACACGCTGGACTTCAACTTTGATGCCACTCCGCCCACGAACCGGCTGGGCATTCCTTCCCAACGAGGAACCTGAAGCGAGTGCCGCATAGGGGTCGTCTGAAGCCCCATGTTTCTTGCGAATGCTTTCCCGTCGGTTCTCCGCTGTAGCATCTACTGTTTTCCCCAAAACCTTCATGTCGTTGTAGAACCCGAGATCGGCATTCAAAGTACGCCGCTCCTTACCCACTCGGGTTTCCCCACGTTCTGAGCGCTTGGCTGGTGCATGTTCTTGGGGCCTCCCCCTCTTACGCCCTTTCTTTTCCTTCCTAGCGCGATAACGCTTTCCGCTAGATCCGTTTCTGCGTCCACCCCGAGCCTTGCCTTTCCTCCTGTCTTCCTCCTCACTCTCTGACTCTGATTCCGCATCCTCACTTTCGTCCTCCTCATCGTCGTACTTCTCCTCGCTCCCAGAGGAGCTCCCCGACTCCTCCTCAGAGCTTTCATCGTCATCGGAAGATTCCTCCTTGACAGGGGCTTTCTTTCCAGCCCTTCGGCGCCGTGACTTCACCCTCCCTGACACCCCCCTCTGATCCTCCAACTCCCCGCCACGGCTCTCCCTCCCACCCCCCCCATGCCCAGGAACATTCTCTGCACCATCCTGTCAAGCACCTGCTGCAGTAGGAGGGGATGCGTCACGCTTCACTTCAAGCTCGCCCTCATGATCACCCTCACCCTCGCCAACCCTGCCGCAACGCTCGCCGTCACGCTTGCTGTAACGCTCGCCGTCACGATCGCCGTCACGCTTGCTGTAACGCTCGCCGTCACGATCGCCGTCACGCTTGCTGTAACGCTCGCCGTCACGATCGCCGTCACGCTTGCTGTAACGCTCGCCGTCACGATCGCCGTCACGCTTGCTGTAACGCTCTCCGTCACGATCGCCGTCACGCTCGCTGTCACGATCGCCGTCACGCTCGCCGCCCCGCTCGCCGTCACGCTCATGCCCTTTCACTTGCAAGTGATCCTCGTCGTCTACAGCTTCATGCTGTCGTGTTGCCCCGGTCGCCTGTTGTTTCCCTCTTTTCCCTTTCTTGGCACCGCGTTTAGCTACAACACATAAAGAAAGGGCGACAAGATCAGTGGTGACGAGTGGAGCACCTCTATTGGTGGCGAAATCAACCACGATATCAATGAGCAACTCTGAAACAGACATAGAAAGACGCTATGCGGAGCTAAAAGGCTCTTGCTTACCTTTCCTCTCTTTAGCAAGTTTGAATTGGTCCAGCAGCTTCACCTTAGGACCGTTCCGCGGCTCGCTTGAACCGCCGCGACTAATTCGGCCAGCGTAAGGCTCGTCACCAGACTAGTCACTATCCGATGATGAGTCCCCTTACTCCTTGGCAGTGCGTGCAGAAGATTTGTTCTTCCTCCGATACTGAACAACTAACGGAGCAGCTTTGTGAGGTGTCATCTCGTCATGAAGCCTCTGTTCCGCACCTGTTCTGGCGCCTTCCAGGGGCTGTAAAGCTCCAGTGCCTACTACCACCGCAGTAGCATCGGCCTGTTGATCGAGATCGCAGATGTCCGCCATTATTGCCGCTAGACCAGTCCAGTGAATGATTGCAAGATGAGGAGTGCATTTCGATGGATCAGAGCTTGCTTAAATAGGTATTCAAGGTGCAAGGAATCCCACCGCGCATGCTAGACGTGCCTGCGAGAAACGCAGTGCGAAATCCCAGTACGTGCCTGCGGACCACGCCCAAGAAGGTCTTGCAAGCGAGAACAGGAGCGCGCCATTGCTGGACGCGCCCTTAGAGAGCATTACGACTGCGCCATAGCTGGACGTGCCTACGACGAGTAATTGCAACGCGCTAAGGTTAGAAGTGCCTACTGCTAACAGCAATGCGTTATGGCAGCAACTCACAGTGAGGCAACATTTGGAAATGCCTATCGTAGGAGGGTATCGTGAGGAGAACCTCAACTGGTACAAGCGTGACGTTCTTGGTGCTCTTCGCCTTAGGGTTTCGTGGTCTCAACTACCGCCACGAGAGATGGCACAGCATGTTCCTTTAACGAAAACCTCCCATGAAGTCACGTCGTGCTGGAGTTCCGCGCCTTCTTCAGCTCCTGCACCAGTTCTGGGATCGCAGCAGCCCAGCTGCCCTAGAAGTTGCAAGGTACGTGCTGGCAGTACGGTATGTGAGTGTTCACAAGCCTGGTCTTAGTAGGAGACTTGTTGGGCTGGAACGCCGTTTCGCCAGCAATCCTATATCTGCATTGTACTAAAAGCGCGATACTACTAAGTATTTTCGATCGCGTGAATGTCAACATCAGAGCTAGACTAGCCGCAAAAAAATCAATGTCACAAAAAATCAATGCCACAACAGCAAACAGGCAGCGCGAAATTCGAATACACGCGTAGGACGATCCGTGCCTAGTCCAACTCATCGCGCTTCGAGAACGACTCTGTTCTGTTGCCCTTGAACCATCGTTGCAATATTGAAAACAAGGATGGGCGTTACAAGTGCGCTGTATAACAACCCAAATATCATTCTAACACATCATCTGGTTTGTTTTTCTACCAAACTCCAGGTACTTGTGATTGGATCTGGAGTCCAGATTCTGGACTAACATACAAGTCACGCATTTAGGGATAACCCTCAATCACAGAAAGAACCCTACCAAGAATTCAAACTCCAAAAACCGTCGTAATGTGTCACAGAGGCCGCCTTTATGAAAGTGCCATGAACAGTGAGAAGGGTGATACCGTGGTATATTGTCATATGCAACATCACCAAGATACCAGGGGACTGGAGTTTCACATACACCAAATGGCTGCTAAGTGTAAGCACGATTCAAATCAAGTCTTGCTCTGGCATGCAACATCCCATATTCAGCCTGGTTGGAAGAGATCAGCAGAGTGTTTCTTGATTGTAGGGGTACTATGCATTCAGCAAAGGAGGATAGAGAAGCAGCGTTGTGTCTGTTGTGCAACCTTACGAGTCACATGCGGCACGCTGTGTGTTGACATGTTCTAGTACCGTATAACCACACACCGTTTTTGTATGCCGTGCCTCTTGAAGGCATGCTGCTGTCCAACCCACCTTCAGCCATCCATTCATTGCATGCATGCATGGTTCGGTGGGACACCACTCCATACTGCCCACTCCACTCCAGGTCCTCAGCACCATGACGTGACACACACCTTTCAGGATAGCATAATAACTAGGCCATCTGTCATTATACTCGGCTAATCTCATGTCTAGTGCTAGATTATGCAGCCCCTATCCAACACCGAAGGTGGCTAAGAGCATCACACAGCCTGAATAGAGGCGCATGCACTATCATAGAAACACGACCACTTAGCCAAATCTTTACGATATTGCCGCCTCCACTGTCTTGGCGTCCCGACCAAGTTGCACGCATTCAGACTGCCGAATTCGGATTCGACGAGAGTATGAATGACTCGCATTACATAAACACCGCAGTCATTATCGTTGTCTTGCTGTCGCACCTGCAAATGGCCCGAGAAGGTGATAGTGTTGGGATTAGGTGTAATATTCGAATTCAGGCAGAAAAATGTTGTTCATGCGCACCTCACTCCTCACACTCCCCTTCTCATCCGCGCATCCCCATTGCACTCATGCGCAGCCCACTCCTCTCACTCCCTTTCTCATCCGCGCATCCCCACCGCACTCATGCGCAGCCCACTGCTCTCACTCCCCTTCTCATCCGCGCATCCCCACCGCACTCATGCGCAGCCCACTACTCGCACTCCCCTTCTCATCCCGCATCCCCACCGCACTCATGCGCAGCCCACTCCTCTCACTCCCTTTCTCATCCGCGCATCCCCACCGCACTCATGCGCAGCCCACTCCTCTCACCCCCCTTCTCATCCGCGCATCCCCACCGCACTCATGCGCAGCCCACTCCTCTCACCCCCCTTCTCATCCGCGCATCCCCACCGCACTCATGCGCAGCCCACTCCTCTCACTCCCCTTCTCATCCGCGCATCCCCACCGCACTCATGCGCAGCCCACTCCTCACACTCCCCTTCTCATCCGCGCATCCCCACCACACTCATGTGCATCCCACCCCTCTCACTCCCCTTCTCATCCCGCATCCCCACCGCACTCATGCGCAGCCCACTCCTCTCACTCCCTTTCTCATCCGCGCATCCCCCCCGCACTCATGCGCAGCCCACTCCTCTCACCCCCCTTCTCATCCGCGCATTCCCACCGCACTCATGCGCAGCCCACTCCTCTCACTCCCCTTCTCATCCGCGCATCCCCACCGCACTCATGCGCAGCCCACTCCTCTCACTCCCTTTCTCATCCGTGCATCCCCACCGCACTCATGCGCAGCCCACTCCTCTCACCCCCCTTCTCATCCGCGCATCCCCACCGCACTCATGCACACCCCACTCCTCTCACTCCCCATCTCATCCGCGCATCCCCACCGCACTCATGCGCAGCCCACTCCTCTCACTCCCCTTCTCATCCCGCATCCCCACCGCACTCATGCGCTGCCCACTCCTCTCACTCCCCTTCTCATCCCGCATCCCCACCGCACTCATGCGCAGCCCACTCCTCTCACTCCCTTTCTCATCCGTGCATCCCCACCGCACTCATGCGCAGCCCACTCCTCTCACCCCCCTTCTCATCCGCGCATCCCCACCGCACTCATGCGCACCCCACTCCTCTCACTCCCCTTCTCATCCGCGCATCCCCACCGCACTCATGCGCAGCCCACTCCTCTCACTCCCCTTCTCATCCCGCATCCCCACCGCACTCATGCGCTGCCCACTCCTCTCACTCCCCTTCTCATCCCGCATCCCCACCGCACTCATGCGCTGCCCACTCCTCTCACCCCCCTTCTCATCCGCGCATCCCCCCCGCACTCATGCGCAGCCCACTCCTCTCACCCCCCTTCTCATCCGCGCATCCCCACCGCACTCATGCGCAGCCCACTCCTCTCACCCCCCTTCTCATCCGCGCATCCCCATCGCACTCATGCTCAGCCCACTCATCTCACTCCCCTTCTCATCGGCGCATCCCCATTGCACTCATGCGCATCCTACCCTTCCCACCCCCATACGCATCCGCGCATCCAACGCGCATACCTCGATGGCGTTTAACGGAATCTCTGCTGCCCACGATTTTGCTTCAGTCTCCGTGATCCATGCGTAGCGCTTCATGACCTGTCGCATCAAACATCTGCGCATTGAGCGTACGGGTCGTTAGCACTCGTCCGCAATAATCATGTTTCATACGAAGCACATATCTCACTTTCTCAAAGGTCCATCAATGTCGACGTGAGTTGCATATGAGTCCGCATGCCACAGGACACACTTGATCGGGATAAGGGATCCCGGAGCGTGGTTAATTTCGATGACAGCAAGGCTCCAGTGCGCACTGCAATGTTATCGAGACTCCAATGTTAGTTTGCAGCACATGGGTACGTTCTACACATGAATAAAAAGACCCGACTACTTACTCCTTGTTAATCGGAACAAGAACGTGCTTAAACGACAAAATCTCATGTCCATAGGCCTGCCTAGTGATCCTCTTCGACCCCGGGCGTGCTACGAGTGTCCAGAAATAAGGCGATGTGCAAAGCCACGACGCATTGTCATATCCGTACTCGTAGTGTAACATACTGCAGGATCGACATGAAAATATACAAAGTCGGTGAAGCTCGTGAGAAACTAAAATCAAGGGTCAACAAATCAGTTTGCTCTGTGTTCAACACAGAGGCACTCACGATGAGAGCCACTCGATAACCGTGCCACTGATCCACTGCTCGTTTTCCAGCGTGCGGTAATCTGAGGGTTTGATTTCAAGAGATCCCCCAAACGGAGATGGCATGCGCATGTGCCGGAAACTACATCGCGCTAACTTGGGTATGCCCTTCTCCATATCTTGAGTACGCAAACTCAGCTTGAGCAGGATCTTGCCTTAGGTAAGGGTCGAAATTCCTTGCCTAGCCAGCTCAACGGAAAGTCGAAGCAGATACTGTAGTTCCTCCTGGAGAAGGACCCACACGCCCTTGCCCTTCGTTGGTCAACTTTGTGCTAAAATTCCTGCTCCCATTCGTCGTCAACGAATAGCCTGCTCTTGATATCTTGTCTACTTGGTGTCCAGTGTTGGGCGGTCTGACAGGATTCCCTGCTCCAATGGCATTGGTGCGGCTTGTATTTTTCTGACACACAATTGGCGTGTACCCCAAAAAGGATGTCAGGTCCATGTCGCAAGCGGAAACGACCTTCGCCAACTTGTTTCCAGTTGGGTACAAAACCTCGTCAGGTTGCTGCGACAAGAAAGCAGTTTTTGTACGCGAAAACAGTTACACCGGGAGATGCTGAGTATGAGTCGCATGGCGTTCTCGCCCATCTGCGCGGTTGTCGCGCACCAATAAACAGTGTGACCTAGCACTTCGAGCAGTACATCACAAACCCTAACCAATTGCAAACCAACTACTGACACTCGATGACCAATGGCCAATCAGGGTCACCGGAAACATATGTTTAGGCTCAGATCGCCAATTCGTGTTCGCGCCAAATCCTTCCCTCGCCTTTCGGTAAACTATCGTCCATACGATAGTTTACTATCTCACCACGGTGCAGTGTTACCACTCACATCTCAAGCTGGTGTGCCAAACACCATTTCAGTCCTACGGATAGATCTGCTCGATGGAGGGTCAGGGTTGCGAGTTTTGCAATAAGCGCGTGTACTGCTATCGAACAGTACGTAGCCATCAAGCTAACCATGACGGCTGTAAGCGAGCCCAAAGACGCAAGGCTCAAGAGGCTGCTAAACGAAAGAAGCTGGGTCGTGACGTTGAGAAGCAGTATACCTTTGTCCCGTTAGGAAGAGCCACCCTTCCCGCGCCAAAGCATTCGATTCTCTTAGCAGCACTTCCGAACGCAGTAGAGCAGTACCAGCAGCCGGCAGAGCGAGTTCCTGATGCGGTCCATACGTGTAGCACCACACTCGTGGGGGAAGAAGCTCCTACAGAGGAAATTCTCGATGTTAAGGCGGAAATATGCATTTTGGCACGGTCTCACGGCCTTACCAACGGGGTGATAAACGACACGATACAGTTAGTTAGACATCCGAAATTAGATCCAAAGCAGCTGGACGATTGGAACAGCTACCGGGACCTGGAGAAGTACGAGAACACCTTTGACGTTGGAGAGGCGAACGAATGGTCGTCGAGGAGATCCCAGTGGATCACGAGATTGGGTTTCTCACTTTCAAACGCCGAAACGCTATAAAAGTGAGTGTCTCCCAGGTGCGGTGTCACGTTCTTTAGAGTGGAGGTGGGGGTTTAGTGATGACGATCAAACCATCGGACCAAAGGGAACCATCGTTTCTTCACGTATGTTTTACATCTTTGTTTCCGTCATTATCACCATCAGCTCCTTCAGGCCATGTTCAAGAAAATGTCAGCTGTCAAGGGATTCACCATCATGCCTCAAGAGTGGAAGGTTGATGGGGTTCGCCGCTACAGTACCCCTGCAAACACGGACTGGATGCTGGAGGCTTGGGTAAGTTTGGTTCCAGCTCATGTCGCGTTTGACAAGACCGTCGAAACATAGGATCCAATTCAGATTTCCATCACTTTCTCATTCACTGTGACAGGAGAGGGTGCGGAAGTATGGCATAGTTATAGCGCTCATTCTGTTCTTGGACCAGACCAATCTATCACATAACGGGCGCCAATCCGCCCACCCATTTCTTTTGTCCTTTGGGAACATTCCGGAATGGGCTAGGTGGCTCGAAGGAGGCACTGAGCTTCTCGGGCTTCTGCCTAATATCCCAGCTGACCTCTCGCCGGAAGAAAAGGTTCGAGTGTTCCAGCGCGCTGCAGAGATCATGATTAAAGATTTAAAGGCGGCTTCACATCTGAAAGGGTGAGTCAACACTACTGTCACCCAAAGGCGCGCATCCCTAGTAATCTCCGTCATCGTACTACGTATTCTGCCTCATCCCTATTCATAATCCTCCCACCCCGCTGTTTCCATCATTAGCCTTCTGGTTTGGTCAAACCAACCACTCCGTCACGTTTCCACCCCACTACCCTTCTAATATTCTTTCCCTGAGGCATACCCTCTCCGCTCCCTTTGTTGACCCTCGTTCACATCTGGTCCTCCTTCGCATGCGTGCCACAACGCTGTATTCAGTCATAACTTTGCTTTGCCACCATCTCATGCCGTTAATGCCTTCCCTGCTTGCTGTCCCCATCTTCCTAACCGTTCTTCATCTGCTTGCTTAGGGCCGCCCATGCTCACTCCGTTACTCCCATCTCCGACGTGTTATCCCATCATCCCCCCTCTACCTCCCTGTTTCCCCCTTCATCCTTGGCGGCTGTGCAGGGGCGGGGTGATGGTGGAAGACAGTGCCGGTGTGCAATATAGAGCATTCACGCTTCTATATTCATGGGTGACAGATCACCCGGAGTCTTCTAAGGTCACTTGTACGATGGCATGCAACTCGCTCCATCCGTGCTCGTTGTGCTTGGCTGATAAGGAGCACCTCGATGCGATGACGTTTGAGTTGACTCAAACGCCCCCCGATAAGGAGTGCCTGGATGAGCAGGAAGACACTATTGTCCTCAGAACTGTCAAGAGTCAGAAGGATGCGTACAAGGAGATGGAATCAGCAAAGACCAAGAAGAAGCTGAAGGCGGTGAAGAAGAAGACCTCTACTCACTTTGTGAAGGTAACCCTTGCCTAGCTTGTTCCGCATGCATTGCCGCGCATCTCATCTGGTTTCCCTCCATCCACACCATATACTGCACTGGCTAGTGTGCATGAGAACCTACTCCAATCCGCAGCCAGCTGTTTGTGTTTATTACCCCGACCCGCCATAGTGACTCTGTGTCCTTGACCCACAACGCAGAGCCTTTTGTGGGACTGGGAATTCGCAAAGACTCTCTGGGGCAACACGTACCTCGCTGTCCCCCCGGACATCATGCACATCTGGGAGCAGGGCATATGGCTGCATGCCATGAAGTGCCTTGTGAAGAAGCTGACTCCGAAAGAACGGAAGATTCTTCTGGAGTGAGTTGTTCCGCGCCATGCTGAACCGTTCCTCCCCTCCTTGCTTGCTTTCCGCGCCATGCTGAACCGTTCCTCCCCTCCTTGCTTGCTTTCCGTGCCATGCTGAACCGTTCCTCCCCTCCTTGCTTGCTTTCCGTGCCATGCTGAACCGTTCCTCCCCTCCTTGCTTGCTTTCCGCGCCATGCTGAACCGTTCCTCCCCTCCTTGCTTGCTTTCCGCGCCATGCTGAACCGTTCCTCCCCTCCTTACTTGCTTTCCGCGCCATGCTGAACCGTTCCTCCCCTCCTTGCTTGCTTTCCGCGCCATGCTGAACCGTTCCTCCCCTCCTTGCTTGCTTTCCGTGCCATGCTGAACCGTTCCTCCCCTCCTTTCTTGCTTTCCGTGCCATGCTGAACCGTTCCTCCCCTCCTTGCTTGCTTTCCGCGCCATGCTGAACCGTTCCTCCCCTCCTTGCTTGCTTTCCGCGCCATGCTGAACCGTTCCTCCCCTCCTTACTTGCTTTCCGCGCCATGCTGAACCGTTCCTCCCCTCCTTGCTTGCTTTCCGCGCCATGCTGAACCGTTCCTCCCCTCCTTGCTTGCTTTCCGTGCCATGCTGAACCGTTCCTCCCCTCCTTGCTTGCATTTTCCACCATGCTGAACCGTTCCTCCCCTCCTTGCTTGCATTTTCCACCATGCTGAACCGTTCCTTCTCTCTAGGCGATACAAGATTTTGAAGGAGGTCACACCAGCTTCCGTGCTCCGTCTGCCTTTGGCGTGGGCCTACTTTACATCCACTGCCTGCTTTTCAGCTTCAGAGCATCGTGCGATGATGCAGGTCTTGCCTCTCATCATCGATCTCCCAGGACGGAAAGATGTCCGGACGGCAATCGTGCTCATGGTCGAGTGGTACAAGGAGTTTATGTCAGAATCCCAACCACTAGACCATTGGGATAAAAGGGCTTGTTAAGTAGCGGGTCAGTGCGCCCATAACCCCCCAGGACAACGAGCCTGTAACCCTTCCCTAGGATCAATCGGGGATCACCAGTGGACCTCTGACACCCCCCCGCACTGGGATGCCCGAAGTGCACACACTGGGATTCGAACCCGAGACCTTCGCTCTGATACCATGTCAGAATCCCAACCACTAGACCATTGGGATAAAAGGGCTTGTTAAGTAGCGGGTCAGTGCGCCCATAACCCCCCAGGACAACGAGCCTGTAACCCTTCCCTAGGATCAATCGGGGATCACCAGTGGACCTCTGACAGTTTATTCGCGCTGAGTACCACACCGACGATTCCCTGAAACGGATGAAAGATGCCACCATCAGGTAGTTACTCTTGTTGTTGTGTGGGCTCCCAAGCCGTTCATTGCCACATACACCCATTTTCCTCGCATCAACCATACCTACATGCTCTCCCCCCCCCCCCCCCCCCTTCCCTTTCATCTTGTTTTGACCCTTTGCATCCCTGTTCTTCCATACCCCACCTGCTTGACCTCAATCCTGCCCTTTTTTTCCCTTGACTGCATGATTCCTCACCCCCCCTCCCTCGTGTCGTTTCTCCCTTCCTGGCTGCATTCCACCCCTTAACTGCATGCATGCTCTCGACTGTCTCTCCCCAGCATGGTGAAGGCTCTGCGTGTTGCATTTCCTAAGCAGAAGTCAAAGTGGAAAATAGTGAAAATTCATCTCCTCGTCCACCTCCCGTCAACCATCCGTCTTCGGGGAATCCCCGCGGAGTACTCGTCGAACTGTTACGAGCACTCCCACAAGACCACTTTGAAGCGTCCTTCACGTGGCACGAATTGGAAGAATGTTGAAGATCGCATCGTTCGGAAACACCTGGAGCACGCGGTAGTTAGACAACTAGCGCGGGAGGCCGGCGGGGACAGCACGTACGAGACTTCGATGAAAGAGGTGATTCTTTTAAACCTGCAATGCCCCCCCTGCTCTGTACCCCTGCACACTCTCGTCTGCTTTGTTTCCCTGTTTTATTCCCATGCTCTGCTCTCCTGCTCTGTTCCCCTAGTCCGTTCCCCTTCTCTGTACCCTGTTCTGTTTCCCTGCTCTGTTCTCAGCACTGTTTCTATGCTATGTTCATTGATGTGTCTGCCCTGCTCTGTGCCCTGTTCTGTTTGCCTTGATCTGGTCCCTGCTCTGTTTTCCCTGCTTTCATCCCTGCTCCGCAACATCCTCCTGTGTTCCCTACTGTTTCCCTGCTATGTTCCACTGCTCTGTTCCCCAATATCTGTTTCCATGCTCTCTGCATGAGTTGGCAATCAGATGCTGGACCAACCTAACCAAAGTAACCGACTCCTACCCTCCATCCCCGTCTTCGTCCCCACAAACTCGCCCCCGTTCCCCCACCCTCATTTCCCCCTGGTCCCTAGCCCTCTCCTTCGCCTCCCCCGCATCAATCCCCTCCCCCACCCTCTCTTCCACCCTCCAAATGCCCACACCATTCACCCCACCCCCTCCCTATACCAACCCTCTCATCTTCACGGTGACAGGCATGCCTGGCTGGCCGGAGGGTGCTTACTAAGACCCACAAGAAGATGGTCATTGGAGACATCACCGACTCGGTGTTCCGGAGCTACGTCTTGACGCTGGGTGAACCCGCCATGAGTGCGATGGTTCTGCGCCTCAAACAGGCGGGCATCAACACGCAAGTCTTGCAGGTGCATTCCCCTCTCCTGCTTGCTTTCCACCCCATCCACCCCTGGTTCCCCCTCTCCTGCTTGCTTTCCACCCCATCCGCCCCTGGTTCCCCCTCTCCTGCTTGCTTTCCACCCCATCCGCCCCTGGTTCCCCCTCTCCTGCTTGCTTTCCACCCCATCCGCCCCTGGTTCCCCCTCTCCTGCTTGCTTTCCACCCCATCCACCCCTGGTTCCCCCTCTCCTGCTTGCTTTCCACCCCATCCACCCCTGGTTCCCCCTCTCCTGCTTGCTTTCCACCCCATCCACCCCTGGTTCCCCCTCTCCTGCTTGCTTTCCACCCCATCCGCCCCTGGTTCCCCCTCTCCAGACTGCTGTCCATGCAAACCCTGGCCAATACCCCATTTCCCTTATGCTCTCCACCCCCTCTTTCGCTGCTTTCCCTTTTTCTTTGTTGAATGCTCGTGGTGTCAGGTGCACACGGCACTTGCGATCCCGCCACACGATAAGATGGAATGGACGTCAAGGGGGCAGTTCGTCAAGGCTAGCCCAGCCCAGCAAAACTTCTCGTCGATTGCGATCAACCCTGCAGGGAAGGGATCCCCGTGGTATGGCCGTTGCCTTGTGCTGTTTCATTACAACAAGGGTGGTGAGCTGAGGCGAGGCGCATATGTGGAGTACTACACCGAAGACAATCGACAATGCCCGTCGACGGGATGCAAGCGTCTTTTACCCACAGAGGGCGTTGATAATTATGCGGTGATCGATGTAGACTGCATTCTTAGTCTCGTGCACATTGTACCCTCGTGCGAGGACGATGAAGTGAGCCTCCTCAACAGATTTGTATGGTGAGGCCTTTGACCCAATGTGACTGTGGTAAACGTTGATTTTGAACCTAGAATATTGATATTTTTAGGCATTTCTTTAATCTAATAGGTGCAAAATCAATAACCATTGGTTAAATATGACACTTGGAAACCCATGTTCTTAATGGGATTTACAAATTCAAGAAATAATCTTCAAAGGTTTTGCTGTAACAAACAATGCACAGAAGTAAAAAGGAGACATTTATATCGAGAACAGGTTTACAGCACAAATCTTCCAAGCGAGGAGACCAGCTCCAACCCCTCTTAGTCGCGAAACCCTAATGCTGCAGCAACAGGCAAGAAACATTGAGCGGAAACATACGAATAGTGTCTCCAAAACGTCTCAAGAGGGACAAACGATTTTTGTAGGTTTTCTGTACGTTTTTCAAACGATTGTCAAACATACGATCGACCTGCGGGAACGTCAGATGATTTTCAAACACACACATTTTTGTGATGAAGCGGAAGGTTGTAAAAAACTACTGTCGAAAAATACAATAAGTTTTTTCCTACGAAACATGTCCACGCTACAAAAGCAGATAGGATCTTTTCCGTAACAAAAAATCGATGGGAAATTTTGTTCTTTTCGCTTTTTTATCAGCGATGGGAAATTATTTTCTTTTTTTATCAGCGTCTGCTGGATTTCAGCGACCAACGTGGCATCCAGTGTCCAGCGTCTAGAGGCTGGACGCTGGGAGTCCTGGGCGTCCAGGGTAGCTTTGATGGGTTTAGTGCTGTGCTGGTGCTGATCGGCGTTGGAATTCGAAGATGACTGTAAATATGAGTCGCACAATTACTGAATCTTACAAATCATCTTCTTCTTTTGCTCGATTGCTTTCTTTTCCCAGGGCTTCCTGCTTCTCCCCGACTCGTCACACGAACTCCAGGTAATAATTCATTTCCCATGCTTGTGCTGTGACCATTGAACACCCGCAACTAGCTCTGACTGACTGGTACGATCATCTTATGAGGCCATCGTTGATCCTTCTTTTTTTTTGGCCCCTGTTGAGGTTCTTCATATAAATTATGCATGCATTTAATAGGTTTTGTACAATGAGGAAGAACGACCTAGCCAAGGTGGTGTACAGCACCTTGCACCAAAATCTGGGTTCATAATGCAAAGCAGGGAAGCTGAGCGACCATGTTTACGATATACTGACGTTTGGAAGGGAAATGTTCAACAGAAATCATCCGTGCATGAGCGAGGTAGTAATGCAGGTTCGCCTGCTCTCAATACATGAAGTGGGATGAGATGGAGTGCCAATTACATGGATGTGAAGTGACAATCAACCAACAACCACATGAGATGGAGATCAGGGTTAAAAAAAACGGCCGTTGAAGGGTTGAAGGGTTGAAAGATATCTCAAACGACCCTAAACTTGACTGTACTCATTTATGGTCCCTGATATGATTATCCCCCTTCGGATTCTCCCCTGTTACAACTTGTCTCTTTCATATCCGATTCATTTCTCCGTAATGCAACTCCCGAGCACGTCCCAGCCTTCGGTCTGCGCCTATTAACGGACACGTACATGCCAGAGTGGGCCAGCCCCTTCCCGCGCTACGTGAGTGCGGACTACCGAGTGGCGCCAAGCAAGCAGGACTCGTGGGTCATCAGCGACTTCCACTCCTGGGATGACGTGCCCTTTCTTGGCTGGCCTGTCAAGGACCAAAAAGACTGCAGTGAGTGAAACCAATGGAAGGGGGAAGCACGAGAAGCATGTTAATGCCTATAGCATTGCTTGTATGTTTCGCTTGGGCACTACAATCTGCATGATCCCCGCCTGCTGTTCTGCTGCTGGTCACTTTCATGTTTCAACTATCGCACAGTACTTAGCTCAATTCGAACACACGTAGAATCTGCTTCAATTCTTTACAAACCGTTTCCATAATATCCAGGTGCTTGTTGGGCTTTCGCACTGGTGGCGAGCGTGGAAGCCGCATACGGAATTGCAATGAATGCAGAGGCGCCTCGGCTGTCAGTGGAGTCACTCTTTGCAGCCATGGGGCTCACCTCCGAAGCTGACAAGTGCAGCACAGGGGGCTCTCCCACCAAGGCGTTGGAAAGGCTTCTCACGCTGCCGCGTGGTGGAGTCGCAGAGGCTGGCGCTCCTGTGAGTAGTGAGGTGAAGTGAACGGCTAGAAAGGTGTAGATTTTCATTCGAAATATTTGGGAAGTTCAAGTGGTGTGCCTGATGTTGAGAGAGTTGCAACTATCCCACAACTCGTGATACGGGGTCTCTCTCTCACATCTAAAGTCAGCCATTGCAGCCACTATCGGTGGTTGCAGCTTATAACCAAGTTAAACCAGTGCCCTGTTAGCATCAGAGTGTTCTTTATACTTCGCAATAATGGATTGATTAGGTCGGGGTCAAGAGGCAAAGCTATGGAAGCAAGGGGCAAACAACTTCACCAGGCACGATCAAGGGCCGGCCTAGACGGACTCCCAACTAGCCGGGAGAGGGCCGAGCCAGCCTTGGAGATTCCCTAAAGCATGCAGAAGTCAACGTGTATGAATACACAAATCACAATGTTATGCACCCCAACATCCTACCACTTGCTATGATTGGCTAGATTGAACTAGGTTATTCGTGCTTGCCGCATGCGTTTTCAGCAAGTTAACTCTCTTCTTCTATGGCGTCCTCTTTGTGTGTTTCTTTTTTTTCCTTCCTGACGGAATTGGATTTTTCTCAAATATTAATCTTCAGAAAAAGTACTACCCTGTTCACGGCTTTGAGCGCACGCGGTTCAAGGGGTTTGTGGGACTTATGCTGGCAGTGCAACGACAGCCAGTTGTGGTTCACATCGAGGCTTCTGCTCCAGAGTTTGCACAATATGACGGGGTGGGTGTTTCTTGCATTGACCCTACATGCTGTGCAGTGCATTAGTTGTCCAGAGTTGCACGGAAGTTGCTAGCCGCATTGAGATATGCCTGAAAATATGCACTTTCATCCCTCCTCGGAAATTGTCATGGTGTCCCTCTCTTCAGACCTTCAAGTACCAGGATCCTGGCTGCTATACCGGTAGACTGAACCATGTTGTACTCGTTGTTGGCTACTTCGTCTTGAGGAATGACGGCAGCCAAAGTCGCATTGCACCTCCGTTTTGGATCATCCGCAACTCGTGGGGAGTGGAGTGGGGCGACCGGGGCCACATGCGCATGGACATTCAGGGAGGGGAAGGCGTGTGTGGCATCAATGTGCTTCCTGGCATCTACCCCATTGTCAAGAGTGAGCCATCTACCTCGTGGTTCGTCTTGAGTGAGGCAGCTTTCCCTGTCACTCTCTCCATATCTCAATCCCCCCCTTCAAGTACACCACAGGGTCGACTATTTTGAATGCATAAAACAAGCTTTCGATTCATTGCCATCACTACATTGGTACAATATCCGTTTTGGCAGCAGCAGTATGCAAATCCTTTGCAGTGAAACTGAAATGAGTCCAAAGGGTGGCTCACATTTGGTCTACAGAGTAGAGTGGACTGACTCATTCTCAATAAAAAGAGTGTCAGCCAGTGATCTCCGCATATTTAGGGTGCTTATTCTCAGACTCATGTTTTCCGGATTTTACACCTGTCACTTTGCTAAGCTTGCCTAATCCTGTCACGTGGCTAAGCTTGCCTATTCCTGTCATGTGGCTAAGCTTGCCTATTCCTGTCACGTGGCTAAGCTTGCCTATTCCTTCCCACAGTCTGTTTCAATGCAACTGCATCCACACCTATTTCTACTCCTACTCTCATCTGTACCACCCTCCAGTCCCTAATGACCCTTGCGGCCAAAGGAGCTTCAAGGGTGACGGTGAAATGCAGCCCAGCATGAACCCATGTGGGCGGTTCACATGCCGGGCTAACCTGCGCAACAACACCAACTCGTGTAACTGCACTATCCCAAATGAAGCCAAGCAACCGTTTGTTGAAGTTGCAAATGCCTATGGCTCCCAAACTTGTGCATATTGTAAGTTGTTTTGTGTTTAGACAATAATGTTGATCCATGGGGGTTGACAAAATGATAGCCTGGTTTATTCCTCAATATATTTTCAACCAGGCCTCTCTGTCTGTATCTTTCTGGATTTATATCTCTCCTCCCCCTTCTTCCCCCCTCTCTTCCCATTGTTCCCAGCACTTTCATGTACCGTTTTGCCTCATCCTTGTGCTCCACAATTGTGTTTGTGTTGCTTGGCAGTGGACGTGTGTGGCTCGGACTTAAAGAACCCCTGCTACGTGGGCGCATGCATCAACGATGCCAAGGGCTCCTACTCCTTCATCTGCCCTCCCAACTTCGTTGCTAGCACAACCATTGACAGTTTTCCCACCTGCGACCCAGGTGCTGCTGCTTTCGCCTTGTGTATGGGAGGGTCGCCAGTCCTTTCAGTGATTTGTGTATCATAGGTTGGGTTCCTCACCTATGATGGATTTTACGCGCTCGGCATTTTGACTTTCAGTCAAAACACTAGCGTTTTGACGCTCTTGACGCCCCCTGATGCTCCGAGGGGTATCCCTCAGTTTGACGCTCTGGCGGGTAGGCAAAAAAAAACCGGGCAGGGGTTAAAAAACTGGGAACATGGGGTGGAATTATCTGAGTCTGAGTACTTGGGAGTGGCTGTAGATGCGCTGCCATAAGGCGGATCTCCACCTACGGTGAAAACGATTTGCTGGTTTGAAAACCTAGAATGAGGTTTCTCACAGAGCATTGGTGGTCATGTAGTGGAGGAAGGGTTGGGTTTTCTAGACACTAAGGGGTGGAGGGAGGTTTGGGGGGTTGTTTTGTTTGGGGACTGTTTTGGGGGCGCCAAATCTCAAGTTCAATTTCGCGGGTCGCGTTTTTTGCGCGCAAATGCCAAGCGCGAACTTTTGGCGATTTATTTTTTCGGGCTGCCCTAATTTTTTTTGCCAGAGCGTCAAGAGTTTTGACGCTTTGATGCGTCAAGCGTCAAAACGTCGTGTTTTGACGCTTGTAGGTTTCTGAATCTGGCGTCAAATCCATCAGAGTTCCTCACAACCCCTGCAACATGCTTTCACAGTCCGTCCCTGTGATGCGCCCACACACAACTAGTAGGTTGGCTTTTGTTTAAGCCCTGCTATTTGGTGTGCTCCCCTTCTTTCACTTTTGTTTCTTTTCAGCCAACACCACAGCCAGCACCTTGGTAGTGAGTGGCACCAACTGGTGGTGCTCTGATGTCCTCCCGCTTGTGGGCCTCTCACTTGCCCAAATTACACAGCAGAATGCGGTAAGCAGTGGAGATGGAGAGGCTGGAAGCGTGGAGAGGCAGGCAGGGCTGGTGGTACAGCATGGAAGGCATCAATCGCATTGTGACGGGGTGATAATGGAAGTAGTAGCTCCACAGGATGATCTACTTGGCTATACTTCAGACTACAAAATGTCTGTGCACCTCATTGCAGGCCATCAACTGCAGCCGTCCTTTGCCTCGTGACGTGGTGCTTCAGCTGGGCAGTTCTCTCCTTGACCCATGCACTGCATTCTTCTACACCCTCAGTGTGAGCTTTAGTCCTAGTTGTTCTTTGTCACATTGGATTCTACCAAATCATTTCTCTCTTTCCTCATCTCCCCTCTCCACGCTGTCTTAGCAGCCTGGTGTATCTTAGCATTGCACATAGTACAGCCGTGCTCCTTTCACGTCATGTGTTGCACCTTCTCTCCACATGTTCAACCTTCCAAAGCTTTCTTCTACATCCTCGCCGTGAGCTTTAGCCCTTGGCATCATTCCTCTTTTTCCAGGTCCCCTCGCTTCTGTGCTGCGTCACCTCGGCAAGTCTGTCATATCATCTCAACCTGCTATAAATTGCCCATAGTACGTCCGTGCTCGTTTTGCATCAAGCATCCAATCCTTCTGTCCTGTCGCTCAACCCTCCAGAGCGACACATGCTGGTCCATCAGCACCCAGCTGGGCCTCACCAGCAGCAAGCTCACGGCTCTCAATCCCGGCCTCAACTGCTCTGAGTCCATCAAGGCGGGCCGCTCTTTGTGCATCGAGCGCAACTCCACCTTTGCTTTCACCATCCCTCAGTGTCTGCGATACGGCGTGCTCACAGCACAGGACACGTGTGAGCGCCTGCTACAGCAGTTGGCATGGAGTGAGGACGACCCAACGGGGGCTGGGGAGGTGAATGCCATGCGCTGGGCTGAGCTGTACCGCAACAACCCCGGCCTCATCTGCTCCAGTATCATCCCGGTCTCCGCCTCTGCTGTTGGCAGCAACACTGGCGTGCAGGTGAGGGGTGTAGGGGAACCAGGTTGGAGCCGCAAGAGATGGGAAGAAAGTGGAGGGATAACTGGTGGGTGGACCGAACGTATATTCTATGGGTGAGGGGGCAAGGAGTCATTTCTCTTACGCCGGAGAGTGTTTGTTCCAACTATTTGCCCTTGATTGTTCTTTGAGTGTGTTCCTATCTCGTTCTCTCAATACATGTTCCTTCCATTTATTTTGTTTGTAAATTTTGCCATTTCAGGTTTGCTTAAGAGCAGAGTATTGGCCGTTCGTTGTTGGCATATGCAGGAAGGGCAGGCAAAAACCAGTTTCACCGTCACTGACATGCTCTGGTGCTTACAGTTTCTATGGTGGAGCCGCGAATGGAGCGGTTTCAAAATATTATGTGTACAATGAGAAAAAATGTGTTGGGAGTGTAGGGTCGCGGTTCATTTGTGTGCCATGATTAGGTCCTCAGGTGTGTATGGACTTCATTGTTTGTAAGATATATTGCATTCTTGTAAATCTGATGCATAATATATACTCTTTCGGCTGGAACCCAAGAGTTCCTATAGCAGTTTATCACTATGTGGAAAGAATGGGTTGACCAATGCGACCGCAAGTGCCGATCTCGTAACATCTCCCATTAGAAGAAACATTGCAACAATTGAGCCACTTAAGATTTTGGGTTGTGTGCGCCCGCCAGTTCTGTTGAAGTAACCCATAGTCGATTAGATAGGATAAGGAGCCATTGAGTTAAGACAGCGGAAGTCTTAGATGGACCTTGTCATGGTGAATTTAAAGCGGCGGTATACATTTGGCATTACTGTTTGTTTTGTACAGTGTCCACCCCTTCATTTCGCCGAGAAGAAAAAAACGAGGGGAGCTAGAACGTTGGCGAAAACCTGAGTTGCTTTCGTACGGATGAACAAGGGTTGGGTTGGTTGTGTCACAAATGTTGAGATGCTCCCGTCACCTCTCTCACCTGCCACTCTCACACACAAGTAGAATAAGCCGCTAATAACTTCACTAGAGAAAAGAAACCAGGGCGCACGCTGGAGGGTGCTATGAGTCTGCGACCACACTCGAAGTCGCGTGTGAGTGATTAGTGGCGTCGGTAATTAGCTTAGGGCAGGAAACGACCAGCAAAAGCGTTCGTAGCGTCAGCACGTACAGCAACTGTCTCGCGCTCGCCGTAGCATCGCACGCACGCCTGCGTTCAAAACGAGCCAGCACAGCGTGCTTCAGCATTGCGCGCTCAGCACAGCAACGCACGCCAGCAAAACGCGCGCAGCAAGGGGCCACTAAATATGCATAGCGCGCGTGACATCACAGCGCGTATGAGGACAGGCACACGCGCCTCGCGTTCGCCCAGCCCTTGAGCCTGCGTCGCGCGTATGAGGAGAGGCACACGCGCCGTATCGTTTTGCCCCCACACACTCGCTCCGTCGCATAACATGAAACATGCCGCTTTCCGCATTCTCCCTTACGCATTCCCCCTTCCAGCGTCCCCCTTCCCCATTCCGAACTCTCGGTCCCGCATTCCCCCATCCGCATCCGCCTTCCCCCTTCCGCATTCCCCCAACCGCATTCCCCCTTCCCCATTTCCCCTTCCAAATTCTCCCTTCCGCCTTCCCCCATCCACATTCCCCCTTCCGCATTCCCCCTTCCGCATTCCCCCTTCCCCATACCCCCTTCCGAATTCTCCCTTCCGCATTCCCCCATCCGCATTCCCCCCATCCCCATTCCCCCTTCCGCATTCCCCCTTCCGCATTCCCCCTTCCGCATTTCCCCTTCCGCCTTCACCCTTCCGCATTCCCCCTTCCGCATTCCCCCTTCCCCATTCCCCCTTCCGCATTCCCCCTTCCGCGATGCCCCCCTCCGCGTTCCCCCTTCCGTATTCCCCCTTCCGCGTTCCCCCTTCCGTATTCCCCCTTCCGCATTCCCCCATCCGCATTCCCCCTTCCCCATCCCCCCTTCCGAATTCTCCCTTCCGCATTCCCCCACCCGCATTCCCCCCATCCGCATTCCCCCTTCCGCATACCCCCTTTCGCATTCCCCCTTCCCCTTTCCCCCTTCCGCATTCCCCCTTCCGCATTCCCCCTTCCGCATTCCCACCTGCCGCATGTGGGTACGACAGACAATGTCGATCCACACACCCATGCAGGGTAAGATTTTGTACGGCCTTGTTGGCTCACCTTATTGCACTCCAGCTCCCCAACCATCGAGCATACCTTATCAATGTTGCGCGAACATCTAACAGTACCAGTTGACTATATGAAGTCCCCAAAAACACGCTCATCTATTGTGTGTATTCCTTTTTTTTTTTGTGCATGGCAATAATCCATCGATGCAGGAGTGCACACATCCATGACAGGTACTCCGAGCCCAGAGTCGGACGCTGGCCTGCTCAACCAACCCTCGCTGGGCTTCGCGATGTCGTATGCTTGCTGAACCCGATCCACCTCATTCGTTTTTTCATGGTCATGACTCTTTGTTGCGCTGCGAGTGGAGGTTGTGGTGGATCCATGAGGCTACGCTCTTGGAAGCTGGTGTGGGCTGTTCTCGGACTGGTGTGGACCTGCGATAGGTGTGGAAAGTCCGTTTCGGTTTGGTCTGTCGATCGCAAGCCACCACCGAGCGCTGCAGACAAGCCTGGTCGGAAAAGTTTACCGATGCTGCAACGGTTCCTCGCGTCTTTCGCACTTGCAGGATTCGGTTACCAGGCTCTGTCGGAGGTAGGCAGGAACTTGGGTGTGCCAATCCCGTGCAAGAGAACGTTTTACAAGTACATGAGTGGGGCGGAGGGTCTGTGGGAAAAGATCATTGCGCATGCTACGAGGTGTATGGAAAAGGCGCGTGAGTGCATGCTTACTCGTAAGGAGAGTGGTTATTGGATTTGCGTGGATGGTAGGTGGGGTCAGGTACGAGAGGCTGAGTGGTGCAGCGTCACATTTATGGATCCTTTCATGCGTAGAATTATACACTGTGTGACACTACCCAAGGCCGAAGAAGGTGTGACGTCGACGCAACTAGAAAAAAGGGCTTTTGAAAGGGGGATGGAAGACTTCCGAAAGTGGGGGTTTCCTGTGAAAGGTATCATTACTAACGAGGGGACGAGTTTCAAGGTTGGTATTCTTAGTACAGACATTGAGCATCAGATGGATGTATGGCACAAAGGTCGTTCGTTGTCACGAAAGTTCGTCAAGTTTTTCGTGGATGCCCGAAAGGACACGATCAGTGCCATTGAGGCAAAGACCATTGAAGATTTGTGGAATGTCAAGCCGGATGATATGCGTTCATGGTTGAAAGTTTATGGAGGTTCAGGTCTCAAAGGTATAAACAAAAAAACGCCCAGAATAAAACTCATAAAAGAAGTGTGTTGTGTGCGTGGTATCCAGTTCGTGGATTTGTCTAAGGACGATTCGCCATGGAAGTACCCTGAGATGCGACGAGTTGCACGTATACGTCGCAGACACGGCAAAGGCATGGCGGCCACATCATCAGCCTCCCGCGCGACTTGTCCCGACGGGTCATGCACAGAGGGCGGGGAGAGGGTGGAGAGAGTTGACGTTCTGATCACTCAGTCAACCGAAGAGAGTCGAGACAAGTATGATGCGACAACAGAGAGCTTTCTCACGCGCGAGAGCTGTTCCGACTTTGTTGCTATTGACATTCTGGAGGAGGGAGCCACAGTGACTGCAGTCAATCCCGGCCGGATAGATCTGCATTATTCGGATGTTAGAGAGCCGTGGGGATATGATCCACATCCCGAGCATGGAGTGCGGCCTTGCTCGGTAGCATCTTTCTTCATCATGCAGGCCTCTGCGGCGCGCCACGCCGATGCGACTCGTGGCATGGTGGCCGCCGAACCGAGGCACAGATCCAGTGCTGGTGAGACAGGTGAGAAGTTTCACGTTGCAATGGTGTCCGCAATGCTATTCCATCCAAGTTGTAATACATATGATGCATCAGCACATTTGCACGTGAGACTCCAGAGAACGATATCATGGACAAAATTCCCTTGTATTATTATGCCCTCCCACCAGGTACAAATGGGGAAAGTGCAGCTGTTGGATCAGACGGGGATAGAGGGACCGCGGAGCACGCTCGACGCTGGGTGGATAGGCGTTCCCGTGGCGGGAAGAGGAGTGGGGCGGGCGCTGCAGTGCAAGAGGAGGTTATGGAAGATCCGGATGAGCTGATCGAGGAGGTGACAGTGGCGCAAAGGTTTAGCGTACACTTTCATCATGTGATGGCACGATGCGCGTTACGCTGGAAACGGGGAGTGCCAATGACTGCTAAGGATGTAGCCAGGGAGATTGGGAGTGCAGCTGATCATTGGGCTGGGGACCATTCGAGGTGTGGTGGGGGCACAGAGACCCCTAGATGCGTGACTGATAACTGGGGACCAGAGAGTGTACTGTACCAACATGGTTCGCGTACACATATCGCATTCAAGGAGTGACTAGAGGAAAACTGTGGGGAGGTCGAGATGAGACCATACGTTCACGGGTCTTGCAATTGGATGAATGAATCATTTCATTCACTAATATGCAAGTATGCTCCAAAACGCACACTGTTTCGTGGAAGCATGAGGGCACGGGTTGGTCTTACAGTGTTGCATTGGAACCATTCATTGGATAGGGAGGTTCGTGCAACCAAGATCAGGATGAGTCGAGTTACCAGGGTGCGGCGCGGTAAGAGCTCGCGGATCTTAGGGCCTATGAACTGGAGTTGGGTCGACGACATAATGCGAGAGTGGAATTGCATGACGCCTGCTGCTTCAGTGGTCCCCGGGCCTGACACCGCTACCCCCACTGCACCGGCAACCCCCGAGCCCCCTCCGAAGCGGCGGCGTACCAATGAGGGACAACCCTCCATAGCACCGCGATCCTTGCTTGGTAAGTTTATGGGGGTGCATTTCGACAATGTTGGACGACCCGCAACACTTACTAATATTACACATGCACATGTATATTCACTGCTTGCAGGACCCTTGACAAATGTGCGATGACGTCAAGAGCCCTGCCATCCGTGTGTGAGTTTGTTATCTCAAAGTGTGTTTATGCTTACGACCTTCATTCTAATCCACTTTCTGTTATTATATTCACCTCCATCCATCCATCCATGCATGCATGCATGCATATGTCTGCAGAAGTGTGTGAGCCTGGCCACGTGCCTGCCAGCATCGTGCAGGCGGGCATTCACAGAGAGGGAGGTGGCAGGCACGTTTTTGGACTGTGCGGGCATGTCCGTTGTGGTGCCCTCCACCATCACCCGGTATGCCACCACCCCCTATCCTTTGTAAGCCACCCATCTCGGGCCTCTTGGCCTTGAGAAACAACCTGGGAGGACCTTTTGGAAGCTATATGTTGTGTTCTGTTGTGTGGCAGCAGTGTTTTTGTTTTTTTGTGCTACCCAACAGTCAGCTGGCGTGCAGTACACCAGCGAAGACCCCCTGCCGTGCGTGGCCAGTGAGTTAGGCGGGTGGTCAGTGAGGGGAGTTGTGGCGAGTGAGTAGAAAGTGTGATCAGTGAGTGGAGGGGGTGATTGATAGTAGCATCGTGACATTTGGAGCACGAGAAGCTTGCCTCCACACTTGGCTGTCCCATACACAGCCCACCCTGCTTCTCCATCCTTACACCCATTCTTCCCACCACCCTTCCCTACCCTTCCCACTCGCCCCCCTCTCCTCCGCCCCCCACCAGGGATGGACGGCGAGCCACCTGACGTGTTCGCAAACAGCAAGTTGTTTGATCAGCTGGGCACCATCTATACGTGGATGGCGCTCTGCCAGAACACTCCTCGTCGTCTTCCTCCTCCTCTTCATCCTCTTTTTAGTGGATTTATAACAATCAATCTAGCCACCTACTCTGCTAGTGTTCTCACTGTGCTGGCTGCAAGGGCAGGATCTGAGTATGCTGGTGAGAGACCGTATGCCATGCTGTATGTCGTGGTGCTTGCTAGCCATTGTTGTCTTCCTCCGTTCCGTGCTCTTCCTCCGATTTCCTTCTGTCCATCGCCCTGCATTCCCTTGTGGTGCATGTTGAACACATGCGGCAGATTGGCCCCATGTTTCCATCATCAGCCGGCAGCCGTGTGGCCATGTACGATGCATTGGCGCACAACGTTTCTCGCCTGGTGCTGGAGGTGGTGTACCTGCTTGGGCTACTGTGGAACGTGTGTGGCGAGATCCCCAGGAAGGGGACCATGCTGCCATGCTACTGCTGCTGTCGCTTCAAGAACATCTTTGATGTCTGGTGGGGAACAGAAGAAGGGAGTTGAGAACTTTGTGAAGTGAGTAGGGAAACGAAGTGTCGGTGTGCGTATGGGAGGGGATGGAAGGGGATCTGAGGGGCTGGAAGGCGATGGGAGGGACTGGAAGGGGATGGGAGGGACTGGAAGGGGATGGGAGGGACTGGAAGGGGATGGGAGGGGCTGGAAGGGGATGGGAGGGACTGGAAGGGGATGGGAGGGGCTGGAAAGGGATGGGAGGGGCTGGAAGGGGATGGGAGGGGCTGGAAGGGGATGGGAGGGGCTGGAAGGGGATGGGAGGGGCTGGAAGGGGATGGGAGGGGCTGGAAGGGGATGGGAGGGGCTGGAAGGGGATGGGAGGGGCTGGAAGGGGATGAGAGGGGCTGGAAGGGGATGGGAGGTTCGGCTTGCCCCCACGAGCAGGACAAAGAGTGGCCCAGTGAGAAAGGAGTGGAAGGGAGGGAAGAAAGGACGAAGGCACGGAGAGGGGTGTTGGGAGGCAAGAAGGGAAGATGGGAAGGCAGAGAAAGGATGTGGGACGCATGAAAGGGGGATGGGCACGCAAGGAAAGGTGGTGGCCGGAATAAAGGGGGGTTGAGAAGGAAGGGAAAGATAGTGGGAGGGATGAAGGGGGGTTGAGAAGGAAGGGAAAGGTGGTGTTAGGCATGAAGGGGAGATGGGTTAGGGAGAGGTGGGAGGTGGGAGATTTGGGAGGAAAGGGAGGGAAGGGAGAGGAGGGAGGCAACGGAGATAAGAGAGGGAAGGGGGTAAAGGGAGGGAACGGAGAGATGGGAGAGAAGGGAGAGCAGGGAGAGAAGGGAGAGAAGGGAGAGTAGGGAGAGAAGGGAGGGAAGGGAGGGAAGGGAGGGAAGGGAGGGAAGGGATGGAAGGGAGAGAATGAGGGAAGGCAGGGACGGGAGATTAGGGAGGGAAGGGAGGGACGGGAGATTGCAAGGAGGGATGAGAGGGAAGCGGAAAGGGAGATTAGCTCCATTGCTCCCTCCTCCCCGGGCTTACCCTCACTCCCCCGCCTTCCTACCCGTTGTTTCCATTTTCCACCCCCAGTTATCACCACACTCCCTTTCAGGGCTCTCGCATGCAGCTTAGGCTTGCCTTCAGTGCACCTTACTATTCATAGCATGTTACAACACCTTTGTATTGCAAGTAATGTTTACATCCATCCAAACCTAGGATACCTATGTCTTTCAATCACCTTTCCTCTTTCTATAACCATCCTTAGGTTTGCAAATGATGTCGGGATGAAAGGAGCTTTCAAATCTGTATTTACATATGTTAGAATCATCGCCATGTATACACAACAGGACCATCCTCTACTCTTGGTGTCATCTTCACGCCTTCACACACTCCTGGGACCTGATGCACCTCCCTTCACGCCGCCAAGCTTGCTTGGGCCAGGCTTTGTTGTCCTGCTTGTAGCTGGGGCAAAGCGTGCAGGCACATTTGTACGGAGCAGCATGTGAATGCAACACTGGCTGCTTTTCCCAAGCATACATGTACCCTGACACCTGGTGTCGCAGCTGTAAATAATGGGTCCCCAAACCCATGGAGGGAAGACAGGGAGGTGTGATGGGGAGGCAGGGAGGTGTGACGTGAAGACAGGGAGGTGTGATGGAAGAGGTGTGTCGGGAAGGCAGGGACGGGAGAAAGGAAATACATGTGATTACAAATGAGTTAGAGGCATTTATGGGGCAGCAGTGATGGCAGCACATGCACGGGAACTAGAGGGCACGAGGGGAGGGAAGGAAGGGAAGGGAAGGAAGGGGGGAAGGAAGGTAAGGGGCAGGCCAAAGAAAGGGAAGGGAATTGGAGGGATGGAGGAAGGAGAAGGCGGGACGAGGGGGTTGGTTATAGGAATCAGGAAGGGAGGGATGGTGGTGAGGACTGGGTGAGAATGGCAGGAAGAGTGGGTGGGCGGACGTAGCGAGTGTGACGATGGGAGTTGAGTTGCAAAAGGGACGGAGGGGTGGCAACGATGGGAGAAGAGGTGAAGTGATGACATGAGATGGGCCTGTTCGAGAATGGAGATGGTGGGAGGCATGACGGGGAGATGGGACGGCAGGGAGAGGTGATGGGAGGCATGAAAGGGAAGGTATGCAAAAAAAGGGAAGGGATGGAGGGAGGGATGGTAGGGAAGAGAGATAAGGGAGGGAAGGGAGGGATGGGAGGGAAGGGAGGGAAGGGAGGGAAGGCAGGGAAGAGAGATAAGGGAGGGATGGGAGGGATGGAAGGTAAGGCCAGGATGAAGGGGAGATTGGGAGGCGGCAGCTGTCATGGGGACCCGGGACCTCGAGAAGGGATGGGGAGATATCGGAGATGGGGAGGCGGGATGACAAGAAGGTTAGTGGGCTTGAGGAGATGGGGAGGCGAAGTGGAGGGGTGAGGATGAAAGGGTTGGCCTGAAGGGCAGAAAGAGAGGACCTGAGAGGAACGGGAGATGGGGAGGCGGGGAAGGGAGATGGGCAAGGCGGGATGTTATGAATGAACAAAAGGGAGGAGACGCACAAGGGGCGGCCCAAAATGTTTGGCGCCGATGGGGGCGGTGCTGAGGGATTGAGGAGAAGGTGGGGGGGGGAAAGAAGGGAGGAAAGAGCTCGCAGGGAGGGAAGAGAGGGAAGGGAGGGAAGGGAGGGAAGGAGGGAAGGAGGGAAGGGAGGGAAGGAGGGAAGGAGGGAAGGGAGGAAGGGAGGAAAGAGAGAAAAGGCTGGGAAGGTTGATAAGGGAGGGAAGAGATGGAAGGGAGGGAAGGGAGGGAAGGGAGAAAAGGGAGGGAAGGGAGGGAAGGGAGGGAGGGGAGGGAAGGGAGGGAAGGGAGGAAAGGGAGGGAAGGGAGGGAAGGGAGGGAAGGGAGGGAAGGGAGGGAAGGGAGGGAAGGGAGGAAAGGGAGGGAAGGGAGGGAAGGGAGGGAAGGGAGGGAGGGGAGGGAAGGGAGGGAAGGGAGGAAAGGGAGGGAAGGGAGGGAAGGGAGATGCAGGGAGAGATATGAGAGAAGGGAGGGAAGGGAGAGAAGGGAGGGAAGGGAATGAATGGAAGGAAGGGAGAGAAAAGAGGGAAGGGAGAGAAGGGAGGGAAGGGAGAGAAGGGAGGGAAGGGAGAGACGGGAGGGAAGGGAGAGAAGGGAGGGAAGGGAGAGAAGGGAGGGAAGGGAGAGAAGGGAGAGAAGGGAGGGAAGGGAGAGAACGGCGGGACGGGAGAGAAGGGAGAGAAGGGAGGGAAGGGAGAGAACGGCGGGACGGGAGAGAAGGGAAATCGCGGGTAGGTAAGAGACGGAAGGGAGGGAAGGCTGCAAGGGTAGGGAAGAGAGCGAGGAGAGGGAAGGGAGAGAAGGGAGGGAAGGGAGATAAGGGAGGGAAGGGAGGGAAAGGAGGGAAGGGAGAGAAAGGCCCGGAAAGGGAGGTAGGTGAGGGCAGGGAGCGAAGGGAGGCAAGGGAGGGAGGGGACGGAAGGGACTGAAGGGCGGGAAGGGAGAGAAGGGCGGAAATGGAGCGAAGGGAGGGAAGGGAGAGAAGGGCGGAAAGGGAGAGAAGGGAGGGGAAGGGAGAGAAGGGAGGGAAGGGAAAGAAGGGAGAGAAGGAAGGGAAGGGAGGGCAGGGAGCGCAGGGAGAGAAGGGAGGGCAGGGACAGAAGGGAGGGACGGGAGGGACGGGAGGGAGGGGAGGGACGGGAGGGACGGGAGGGAAGGGAGAGACGGGATGGAAGGGAAGGACCCCAGGGAAGAGATGAAACGGAGGGAAGGCAGGGAAGGCAGGGAAGGGAGGGAAGCGGAGATGCGGGTAGGGACGTGGCGGAATGGGGTTGGATGGGGAGATAATGGGGACATGGGGATGCAGGGAGGGGGGATGGGGATAAAATCAGAGGAGGTGTGGATGCAGGGAGGCGGTAAGGGGTGAAGGGGAGTTTCGAAGGGGAGAATGGGAGGCGGTAGAAGGGAGATCGGGAGGCCGTAAAGTGGGAGAGGGCAGCGGACTGAAGATATTGGGAGGCGCACGAGGGCCCGCAATGTGTGGCGCGGCCCGCGTGATCGCGGTCGCGTGAGGAGGCAGCGTGGGGCGGCGAGGCGCCGATGCGTGCGGATTTGCGGCGCGACGCCGCGTGCGGATTTGCGTCGATGCGACTCCGCGTGCGGATTTGGTGGTACGAGACGATGCGCGGGGAGTTGCGGCGATGCGACGCCGCGCGCGGATTTGCGGCGATGCGACGCCGCAAGCGGATTTGCGGCGATGTGAAAACCCGCACGCGGAGTTGCGGCAATGCGACGCCGCGATTCGGACAGATTTGTGGCGAGGCGACGCCGCGACGAGCTTTGAGGCGTGCCTACGAGGCAGCAAGTTGCGGTGGGGCGAGGACACTGCTAGGGGCTCGATGCAAAGGCGATTTGCGGCGGCTGGATAACGGAACAGAGATCGACTCTAGGCAGCGTGGGGAGGCAACGGGATTTCTACGTACAGTGCGGTCAAGCGTGAAACAGCCACTAAGCTGTTTGGGCAGAGTAGTAGTAGTAGGAAGCGCTCTTAGGAGAATTTCAGGATGAAAGTAGTAAGATAGCTTTACAAGAGATCATATGATGGCTTACACATCAGAGACATATCCTAATATACTAGGATAATAGCATGGGCGCCTTGAGCAGGTCGCTCAGGTCGCCATTCACCTTCCTAGAGCTAAGAACAGCAAGGCATAGTCATTATGATTATGTACAAGACATCCTAGCCTTGTTGTCTAGTCCTAGAACCAATTAGCAAAGCCTAGGAATTCACTAAGGTAATGGGCAGAGATTATTTGTCTTGTTGTCGTCCATGCTGTCATTGATCATGATGAGCACGAGCTCTGTTGGAAGTAGCCATAGCTGTAGGGTCTTGTGCTGTCAAGTAATCTGCTGCGCTGTAGGTAGTTCTCTGCCCCGTTGTGTCCAGCACTAGTGTGCTCTCTGGAGTTGTTCCCACGGTTGGAAACTCAGAAAGTCGGGTCGCACATTTCAAGGTTGGGATTCCAACATTGAATTCCCGAAATGCACTTAGGGTGTGTTCCGAATTCTGGTTTGGATCACAAGGAGCTGAGTTGGCGAAATCGAGGAAGGCGAGATCGCCTTCGTCTTGTTACATTACTCCCCTCTCCAGCAAGCACCGTCCTCGGTGCTTGAGCAGATGCAAGGTAGCTCTGAAGGGCTCTCTGGGCATTCTGAAGGCTTGTCTCGGGTATCCAGAGGTTGTGAGAGGAGTCTTTCCCACACCACTTAACAAGGAAGTAAGTGCCGCGAGGAGAGGTTTCATGGGACAGAATTTTCTCAACTTCAGAGAGATCAGGGTTAGATGTGAACATAGGAGGCCGAGGAGGCAGAGGTAAGAGGGGGAAATGGGCTGGAGGAATGTGGTAAGGACGTAGCAGCTGAACGTGAAAAACAGGGTGTATGTTGATGTGTGGTGGAAGTTTTAAACGGTAGGTGAGAGGAGAGAGAACTTGAGTGATGGTGAAAGGGCCGATGAAACGAGGTGCAAGCTTACGAGTGAGACCTTTTTGCAGCAAGGGAAGGTTTGTGGTAGAGAGGAGGACTTGGTCACCTACATGGAACTGGATGTCACGTCGGTGTTGATCGGCATACCGGATCATTCGGTGTTGAGATTTCAGCAAGGAAGCACGTGCTGCTGCAATGGTCATTTCCCGAGTGGAGAGGAATTCGGCTGCTGGTTTGGTGTCACTGCTGCGTACGAGAGAAGCTGGTGTGCGGGGCTGCTGCCCTGTAGCGAGGAAGAAAGGGGTTTGTCCCGTGGCAAGGTTCACCGTGTTGTTGTAGGAGAATTCGATCGAGGGCAGATGCTGGTCCCAATCATTTTGCCGTGCACTCACGCATGCACGCAGGGCATCTTCAAGGGTTCGATTCATCCTCTCGGTCTGCCCATCGGACTGAGGATGGTAGGCAGTGGAGAGACGAATCTTGGTGCCCAATCTGTTGAAAAGGGACTGCCAAAATCTGCCAACAAACCGAGAATCACGGTCACTGATTAGTACGGAAGGAATGCCATGGAGACGTACCACCTCTTTGAAGAAGAGATCAGCGACGTTCTCAGCTGTAGCTGTGGTGGAGGTAGGGAGGAAGTGTGCCATTTTGCTGAGCTTGTCTACCACTGTGAGGATAGCGTTGTGATGGGAGGAGGTGCGAGGCAGATCTGTGATGAAATCGAGTGTCACATGAGTCCATGGGAGTTGAGGGATTTCCAGAGGGTGTAGAAGGCCGTAGGGTGCTGCGTTGCGAGCCTTGTTGCACTGGCATGTGTGGCAGCTGCATACGTAGGAGCGGACATCTCGAGAGAGCTTGGGCCAGAAGAAGTTAGAAGAGATGGCTGCAAGCGTTTTGTCCACTCCGAAGTGCCCATTCTGGTCATGATGCTCGCGTAGCAGGAGATGGCGAAGCTTGCGCTCTGCGGGGACGCAGATGATTCGGGAATCCGCCTTGTACCAAAAAGGGGATTCGTAGAAGACAGATTTATCATCAGCAGCAGAGTTGAGATAGAAACGGTCACGACGGTACCCTTTGATGAATTTCTTGATGAAGCTTTCGTCCCATGTGACACTTCCGATGGTGGTGAGCTGAGGTTGAGGAGGCCGGGTCAAGGAATCAGCAGGGTTGAGGCGGCCAGCGCGGTACTCGATTTTCAGCTCCGGTACGTACTGTTCCAGGTACTCCATCCATCGGGCCTGCCTCGGGGTGAGATGGGGCTGCGTCTTCAGGTATTGCAGGGTGCAGTGATCGGTAAGAACAGTGACGGGCTGCATGTGAACATAGCAGCGCCACTTCTTGATTGCATGGACGATGGCCAGCGCCTCGCGATCGTGAGTTGCATAGTTGCACTCGGCAGGTTTGAGTTTCCGGGACTCGAAGGCGATAGGCTGAAGGCCATGCCCTTGATCTTGACAAAGGATTGCACCCGTTGCAACCTGAGACGCATCTGTCCATATCACGTAGGGAAGGGAGGGGTTGGGTAGGGCTAGAGTAGGAGAAGAAGTTAGTGCACACTTGAGAGCATTAAAGGCAGTTTGCTGGTCAGAGTCCCAATAGAATGGTTCACTCTTGCGGAGAAGGTTGGATAGGGGAGTGGTGATGGCAGCAAAGTGTCGAATGAACTTGCGATAGTAGTTGGCAAGACCAAGGAAGGCTTGCACTTCCTTGATAGAGGTTGGCTCCTTCCATTCTCTGATGGCTTGGACTTTGGAAGGGTCCATAGCAAGCTGGTTGTGTGAGATGATGTGGCCCAAGAAAGGAATCGAGGGCTTGGCGAACTCACACTTGCTCTGTTTGGCGAAGAGACGATGCTCACGTAGCCGTGTGAAGACTTGCCTTAGATGCTCGGCGTGTTCCTTCAAGGATTTGCTATAAATCAGAATGTCATCGATGAAGATGATGACAAACCGGTCCAAGAAATCCCGAAAGACACTGTGCATCAAGGACATGAAGGTGGCAGGGGCATTCGTTAGTGCGAAAGGAAGCACGAGAAACTCGAAGTGCCCATACCGTGTTCGAAAGGCGGTTTTCTCGATGTCTTCGTCAGCGACACGCACTTGATGATAACCGCTTCGTAGGTCCAGCTTGCTGAAAATTGTGGCCTCTCCAAGTTGATCAAAGAGTTCTTCCACGCGAGGTAGAGGGTAGCGGTTCTTGATGGTGATTTTGTTGAGCGCACGGTAGTCAACACACATGCGCATGCTGCCATCCTTCTTTTTGACGAAGAGAATCGGTGCTGCATAGGGAGAGGAGCTGACGCGGATGAAGCCCTTCTCAAGGAGTTCCTCCAACTGCTTCTGGACTTCTTTCAGCTCGGCAGCACTCATCCGGTACGTAGCACGAACGGTAGGTTCAGCACCGGGTTGTAAGATGATGCGGTGATCGATGGTACGCTTTGGAGGAAGTGAAGAGGGAAGATCCGTAGGGAAGATGTCTTTGAACTCATTGACAGCCTGTTGAATTTCAGAAGGGATTTCAGCAGCCTTGGGAGGGGAAGGGAGAATAGGAGTTTCTGAAATTTGATTCAAAAAACAGAGGAAGAATTGAGAGCTTGGGTCATTGAGAGATTTTTTTAGCTGCCGTTTCGAGAGGATGTTGCAGCAAGTAGAGGTAGAGGAGGAGGAGGAGAAGGTAGGTAAGGTGACATCTCTTCCAGAGTGAGAGATGGTGACGGTTCCAAGAGTCCAATCAATCTTGGGGTTTTTTAAGGAAAGCCAGTCGCGTCCAAGAACCACTTCATGGTCTCCGAGAGATGCTTGCTGAAACTGAATCTTGTCTCTGTATGGTCCGATTGTACATGACACAGGGAATGGTAGTTGTCCACATGAAATCGAGGTTCCGTTCGCCATCAGCACTGTTTGAGGTATGGAATCAGGTTGAGTTGGAAGAGAAAGCTTGGAGAGTAGAGAGGAGGAGACGAAGTTAGAAGAAGCACCACTGTCAACTAGAGCTTTCACTTTCTGGCCACGAATCAGCATGGAAAGGAGAAGAGGTTCAGAGGGGTTACGACTTTCAAGGGAAGAGATGGTGGGGCAGGCATAGTCACCAGAAAGTTGCCCCGAGTTTACTGGCGACTTGAGTTTCCCGGCGTTGGAAGGATGGGAGGCTGATTGGTGCGTTGGCGACAGACCTTCCACACGTGCCTTTTCTTGCCGCACTTGTAGCACACGATGGCTGGCCTCGGGTTTCTCTTTCTCTTCTCCATCAGGTCCAGGTCCATAGGAGCAGATTCTTGAAGATTGGAGTCAGTTGGAGTAGAGGGATGGTAGGAGGGAGCAAACGGGAGGAACGGGCTATGAGGAAAGCGAGGCTTGTTGTATGCGTAATGAACAGAATCATACCGTTCAGCCACGCGTATCATTTCCTCGAGCGTAGAGCAGTCCCTCAGCTCAACCTCCATGCGCACGTTTGTTTTCAGCCCGCGCTTGAAACGATCCATCCGTTCAGCATCAGAAAGGTCCGGGATCTCTTGAGCGATGTCACGGAAGCGAGAAGCGTAATCTTGAACATATTTGAGTTGCTTCAGAGCAGCCAAGGCGTCTCGTGCTCGGATGTTCGGGTTCACCGGTTGGAAGGTTGCAGTGAAGATAAGCTTGAATTGATCCCATGATTGGATGGTCGCATGCACGGATTGCCACCACGTGATAGCAGATACACGAAGAAGGGTGCCAGTGAAAGCAGTCCACTCGGCAGGTAGTATGTGACTTAGGAGCAGGAATTGCTCAAAAAGAAAGAGCCAACGGCTCACGACTGGTTGGTTTCTCCCGGGAAAGAAAAAATCAGGAAGGGCGGGTCTAGCGCGCTGATTTTCGTCTGGCGGTGCAGCAGGGCTCGAGTTTGCTGCCGCCACTCCAGCTGCAGCTACACTAGCTTGCATCTCTGCTTGCAAGCTCTCTCTAACTTCAGCAACAATTTGGGCACGGTAAGTTTGCAAGTAGGTGGCCCATTCATCACGAGAAGGTACCTTACTGGTCGTCATGACGCTGTTCTCAAGAAAATGAGGATCGAAGATAGCTCGGATACCAAATGAAACAGCCACTAAGCTGTTTGGGCAGAGTAGTAGTAGTAGGAAGCGCTCTTAGGAGAATTTCAGGATGAAAGTAGTAAGATAGCTTTACAAGAGATCATATGATGGCTTACACATCAGAGACATATCCTAATATACTAGGATAATAGCATGGGCGCCTTGAGCAGGTCGCTCAGGTCGCCGTTCACCTTCCTAGAGCTAAGAACAGCAAGGCATAGTCATTATGATTATGTACAAGACATCCTAGCCTTGTTGTCTAGTCCTAGAACCAATTAGCAAAGCCTAGGAATTCACTAAGGTAATGGGCAGAGATTATTTGTCTTGTTGTCGTCCATGCTGTCATTGATCATGATGAGCACGAGCTCTGTTGGAAGTAGCCATAGCTGTAGGGTCTTGTGCTGTCAAGTAATCTGCTGCGCTGTAGGTAGTTCTCTGCCCCGTTGTGTCCAGCACTAGTGTGCTCTCTGGAGTTGTTCCCACGGTTGGAAACTCAGAAAGTCGGGTCGCACATTTCAAGGTTGGGATTCCAACATTGAATTCCCGAAATGCACTTAGGGTGTGTTCCGAATTCTGGTTCGGATCACAAGGAGCTGAGTTGGCGAAATCGAGGAAGGCGATATCGCCTTCGTCTTGTTATAAAGCTACACGGCGATGCAGCGGCGACCGACGAATGAATGCGTATTCGGCTACGCTGGCGCCGGCGCAACCTTCTGTGTATGACGTAACCCTAAGCTCCGAATTTCAACGGTGTGGGTACGACTATTCTAGTAGCGCACGCTAAGAATGCTACGTGAGTTCGCTCCTGCGGGGGAGACGAATTAGTATACTTTTGCCATCTATAAACTTTTGACAGACGGGTGAGCTGGGGGGAGTTGGGGGCCCCTCGTTTCTCGAGAGAGAGGTTGGGTGGGCTTGTAATTCGGTAACCACCATGCACCTTTTATAAACTTTTGGCACTGGCCCTGTCAAATGTATACCGCTGCTTTAAAGTAACAATATAATAGAACAGGGCATTACATGGAGTTATATAGTCCTAGCTAGTCAGTACTCTGAGGGATACCGTCATCGCCCGGATATAAGACTGTGTGGAATTGAAGACAGGGGGTGTATTTAAATAGGGTGTTTCTTATAGATGGGTGTTCCTGATTATAAGGGCGTGTCCCACAAGTTCTCTTTTGGTTCAAAATTTGCGGTGGAGAAAGTTTATGTGCACTTTAGAATGGTTTGTCTGATTCACCGCTTTGAACCGTGACCCGCCAGTCTGAACAGTGATTCATGGGCTGACAACGAACTCGTGGGACACCCCCTACGATACCTTTGTGCGTGTACGAGTTAAGAGACTGTCTTGTAAACAGACAAGGGTTTAGGGGTAATCTTATAAACAGGGGGGGTATATACTAAACGGATCTTTGTGCATTAAGGGGGGTACATTCATACATTCATCAATTGCCACATCTGCCTAGTCCCCCTCGGTAACACCCTTCTCATCTGCACTAGCAGATGCAGGCTCCTGCCAGGCCCTCGGATTCGTTTTTGGCCTGTCTGATTCGTCAGACTAGTACACAGTTTTAGTCTGAAACTCTCAGAGTTGGTACAAAAGAAAGGCTGAAATTTCAGAGTGTCTAAAAAAAAAAAGTCTGAACATTCGAAATCAATGTATTCAATGTTCATCAGAAATGTATTCAATGTTTCATTCATCTGATACCGAAACATGCTAGACTAAGGGGACTTCCGGGAGAACATGCTCTGGCAGGGCGATTTTTTGTGTCAGGGCGAATCTTGTGGTGTGAAAGGGAGAATCTGCAATGTCAGGTGGAATTGTTTTGGTGATTGGGCGAAATTGTTGTGCTCTGACGGCGCAAATTTGTGGTGTCAGGGCGATTTTGCTGTGATTGGGCAAAAAAATTGTGCTGTAAGGCGCGGATTTGCTGTGTCAAGGTGATTTTGCGTTGACAGTGCGAATCTGCTGTGACCCGTGAAGTCCGAATCACCAGTCAAGAACGAATTTGTACTCTGAATTATCAGAGTACACTCCCGGAAAACTCTGAAATTTAAGAGTTAGCCTTAACATTTTTCTGAAAATTACAGAGTTGGGGCAAAAAAATCTCTGATTTTAACAGACCTCACATAAAAAAAAAAAAAAATTGAATTCTCAGACTTTTCATGCAAATGAGAGAAAAAAGTCTGACTTCTGAGGGCCTGGCTCCTGCACTCCGAAGTCTGGCACTCGACAGGCGTGCTTGGACGTCTGCCTGGGCTCGATCATGCGGTCAGCCTCGGCCACCGCTCCGCGGTAGTTGGGTGTCTCTTGGTACAGCACCTCCAGCCCAGTTGCCATGCCGACCTCCCTGACGCCCTCCGCCTGTAGCTGCTGCTCCTCCTCCTCCTCCTCCTCCTCCTCCTCCTCCTCCTCCTCCTCCTCCTCCTTCCCTTCCGGAGCCTGCCCAAGCAGGCGCGTGTTGTCGCCCGTGCTCCCCTCGAGGCACATGACTTCTGAGACATCGATGGTGCTCTTCGCGCGCAGGTGAGACATCACAAGGTTGTTCTCGGTCCAGTCGAGCTTGCTTGCGATCCCACTGTGCCTGAACGCGTCGATGATGACCTGGGTTGGGACTTGATCCCACGCCTCCGCAATCCACTGCAGCACCACATGATGCGGAGGCCTCCTCGGGTTCCCTGCGTTGGGTGGGGGGGGGGGGGAGAGAGGCAGGGGCAAGGTTCCGTTTGGTACATACAGGTGTAACAGGGGTTCTGGGTAATGGCATGGAACGTGTACTCATCTTGTTTCGTCTTCAAGTAGATGCCTTCACGCATGAACCATTTGGCGTAGCGTGCTCGCACCGCGGCCTTGAAGCACATGTTGATGGAAACGTCCAGGGGTTGAATTTTGCTGGTGCAGCCCGCAGGGATGACGGCATGGGTGATCCTGTGTGCGCGATAGGCTTGAAGCATGCCTGGGTGATGTGGCCTCGGTAGGAATCCAACACCAGCATCGCACGCCTCGCGTTCTGGCCGTGTTGGGGGTTGAGATGGGGCAGCACCTCCTTGGTCAGCCAAGTCTTCATTGCATCCTCGTCCATCCACCCGTTATCCTGTGCTTGGACCACGACTCCTGCCAAGCACAGTGGGAGATGCAAGCGTCAGAGCCAACAAGCCACGTAACAACACTCAGGAACTAATCTGTCAACCCGAGGCACGGCCGCTTACCTTTAGGTCTTCACACTTTGGCACGTTCTTCAATTTGAACCAAATCCACGGGCGCAGGTTCTCCTTGGATGACGTGCACGCAAGTATGACGGTGAGCTGCGTCTTCTCGTAGACAGCGGTGCGGATCGGGACAGAGCGCGCGCCACGGTGGTCAAGGGTCCTCTCGGCCGGCATCTCGACGAAGAGAGGGGTCTCGTCCGCTATGATGATGCGGGCGAGGTCGATGTTGTGTCGGGAACGGTTGATCCTGACGAATTTCTATAACGCCTCACAGTCCTTAGCACACTCTGCCATGGAAACAAAACGCAGAGGAAGAGGGAATGTTAGACATGAGAAGTCACTTGAATGCTAGGCGATTTCAGTCCACGATACAAGATGAATTTAATACAAAACAACTCGCCCGCCGACACCCGCTGGCCAACCTTAATCTTCACGCGCATGACCAAGTTCCAGCGGTCGTGGAGCCGTTGACTCCAGTGGGACGACGCGTTCCAGCTCTTGTCGGGGTGGTGTTTCTTCATCCACTTGCGGCTCCACTTCTGCGTGTCCTTCACGAATATCGCCACCCCCTTCGATCGCTCCAAGCAGATGTACCGGTACAACGCCGCCTCCATGTCGGGGTGGTGTGAGTGGCGGCCCGCGCCATGTAGACGCTTGCGGCCGTTCGCCACACCCTTGTACACGCCCGAATCCGCCTGCGTAGCCCAGCGTTGAATGCACGCAATGGAGGCGGAGGATTCGGCTAATGTCTTCTTGAGGGAGCCGAGCTCCTTGTAGCGTCACGCCCACTTTACCTTCTCACGCACGCTCCAGGATCACCTGGTCCGTTTCTCACCGCGATTGTGTGGGGATGGAGGACGGGAATCAGCGTTACGCATGGTTGGGTCTTTGGGCTTCGCCTTCTCAGGGTAAGGGGGAAGGGGTCCTGCAGCCGCGGCATACTCATCGTCGCTCACGTGCACCTCGTTGACCACGATGTCATTTTTGCCGTGGGCGGTCTTCTTTTTCTTCGCACCCTTGCTGGAACCCGGTGCTTCTTCCTCTTCGCCTTGCTCGTGCGGCGGCAACGTTGCACATTAATCGGGCCTTCAACGATCTTCATCTTTCCTTCTCGGCAGCACTGAGGCAGTTTTGAGGCTCCTCCACAAATCTGTCGTCGTCAGAGAGCACCATCCTGGTGTGTTTAGTGGTGTCGCGCACAGGATGACGAAGCTTCCTCTTTAACAGAGGCACCTCGTCATCGGTGAGGCGCCAGGGGTCGTCGTCCGCGTCTACTCCTTCGAAGAAGATGGCATCCGCGCCATCCGCATGCGCAACCGCATCCGCATCTGCTGACGCGTCCGCATCCGCAACCGCATCCACAATCGCTACCACATCCGAATCCGCATCCGCATCCGACTCCGCTTCGTCATCCGCATCCGCATCCACATCCGCTGCTGCATCAGCATCCGTAGTCGCTTCCGCTAGCACATCCCCAGTCGTCGTCGCAGGGGCTTGCACTGTCGCCGTCGCCTCCGCATCTGCAGCTTGCGCTGTTCCTGGCGCATCAATATCCGCAGATTCCGCCGCATCAGAGTCTCCAGCGCGCCACTCTTCCACTTCGGCGCCGAGGCCGATCGGCCGCGTCCACCACTCGTCATCGTCGATCCCGTCAGCAGGTATGTCCTCACTAGATGCGCTGTCGTCGTGCCCGTTCTCCGGCCAATCCTTGTCGCCCTCGTCGCCGTGGTCCTCGTCGCCTTCCTCCTCGTCACATCTCGCACCTGAGCACCCCGCCGGCATTCCAATGCCTAACGATTACCTCTTACAACGTGTAACTTCCGATCCTGGTCAGTCAACAGTCCGTACAGTTTACTTTCGACTGTTGACTTTCCGTCTCCCTACTATCGCGTGCTCTACTTAAGAGTAACGCGATAGTGGGGGGTGCCACACTCTATAAAAGGTAACGCAATAACATTTTGGTTATCCCAACACTCCCCTTTCCTAGAAATATGGCATTTTTTTCTTCTTGACGACTCCGCACAGGTAAGAACAACACTGAAATTTCTGACGTGCCAGTTCCTTCGCCAGAAAGTCGGCTGCCCTTTCGCAAGTTGGACACTAGGTGAGGCCCACTTTTCCCTTGTTGATTTCGTCCTTCAACAAAGGTAACAAAGCGGAATGTGTTTCGTGCGGTTCACAAATCTAGGCTGGTTGGCGATCTTGATCACTCTCTGGTTGTCGCAGAGCAACTTTAAGAACCCGTTTATCGTCACTTTTGCCTCCTGTAAAGTTCTTGTAGAGGGCATTGGCGCCGTTGTCACGGGCGCCTAAGGCGCTCGCACCGTAGGCGCAGGTGCGGGCGCCTTAGGTGCTGGCGTATTTGGGCAATGGCGCCATTTGGAGCTGGGCTATTGGCGCGGGCGCTTGCGCGGGCACCTTAGGCGCCAGGGTAGCTGGACGATGGCACGTGGCCGCTTGCTCGGGCCGTTAGCGCTGGCGCCACTGGCTCGGGCGCGGTAGTCGCTGGCGCCGTTTGGTGCTGGCGCGTAAGGCGCTGGTGTCAAAGGCGCTGGAGTCTAAGGCGCTGGCGCCGTTACTGCTAGCGTCTAAGGTGTTGGCGCTTAGGCTCTGAATTGAAGGCGCTGAACCCAAGTCGCTGACCCTAAGGTGGCATCCCCTACGTTGCATTATGCCCCGTGCCCTTGGCCGACGGCGCCTAAGGCGTTAGCGCCATGACCATGCGCGTGGGCCCTATTCTTTGGCACCAAGTACACAATCGCTGTTTTTGTTGCCACTAGGCATGCTAATGCTAGTGTGAAACGCGAAGTCAATGTGTGCATAGGCGCTGCATTTGCTGATGCCAGTCGCACATGGCAAACAACTCACCTCATCCCTTCCCCTGCTTGTTCTCCACTCCAACCCTCCAGGCGTCCCAGGTGAGAGTGTTCCTCTTATCAACGCGGCAACAGCAACGTTGGGTGAGAGAAATTCGGAAAAGACGATCAATGCCTTTCTATGATGCGTACGTGCGAGCTGCATTTGTTTTTGTTTGTTTTCGTCTGGTAGGCGCTGCCCCCGGGGCGTTCGCACCTTATGCGCTGTACTCTACTCTACTCTAGGTGATGGTGCCTAGGGCGTTCGCGCCATGAGCATGCATGTGTTGCCATGAGCATGCATGTGTTGACATGAGCATGCATGTGTTGCCATGAGCATGCATGTGTTGCCATGAACATGCATGTGTTGTCATGAGCATGCATGTGTTGCCATGAGCATGAATGTGTTGCCATGAGCATGAATGTGTTGCCTACTCTCTAGTGCCAAGCACACCCGTTTTGTATTCTCTAGCCACATGGTATCTCCCTTTCAAGCATTTCCAGGTTTCTCCCCATAAACTCCCATTCTGTACCCAATTCTGTACCTGTTAGTACTCCTTCGAACCTGCCCGTTTTTGCCTGAAAGCTGAGATCCCACAAAACAGCCAAAAGCAGCCACTTCCGACCACACCATACAGTTATCCCCCACTTCTAAACTCACAGCCGTTCCCTTCCCGTAAATGGCCAATTACAGGGCCCTCTCCAACCCAAAAAAATGCGCTAAGTCCTGCCCCCCACCAATTTCCGGCAGATGGACCACTCCTGAATAGAGTCAGGCCATGACGATCCGCTTCATCCTATTGGTCAACAAGCAGGGCCAGACCCGCGTAGCGCAGTATTACGAGTACATGCTCCTTGAGTAGAGGCGCGCGTTGGAGGGAGAGATTGTGCGCAAGTGCCTCGCGCGATCCGAACAGCAGGTGGTTCTCCGGGGAGGTTGGATGCTGGGGAGGTGGGGGATGTGGGGGGAAAGGGTTAACATTGGCATCGACCCGATATATGGTGGATGCGATTCGAGTCTTGACACGGCAGGTGTTGCCAAAGGCATAGTCTAGGTGCGACGGGAGGTGGGTGATGAGAGGGGAGTAGCTGATAGGGTGGGAAGACGAACTTTTTCGAAGGGCGAGGAGGTAGTCTCCGGTAGGTTAGGCCTGGGAAGATTTCAGAGGAGGATGCGGAGGAGGAGTAAGGGGGATGTTAACGGTATAAATATTCCGTCTTTTAATATCTTGAGTTTATCCGTGCAGTGCTCTTTTGTGGAGCACCGCAACTACAAGGTGAAATACCGGTGCTATGCATCGCTTTTCTTCCTCGTCGGCGTGGATGGCAAAGAGGTAAGACTGGCTCCATCCAAATCTCCACCTGTTTATGTCCATCCCAATCTCCACCTCCACATGTTTGATTTCAAATCATCATACTGGTCTTGGTGCAATCCCTTTTTTGCCTCTCCAATTTTAACGTCCTCCTTTGACCCTCCACCTCCACCTCCACCTCTGACTTGCAATCTCTCAGTACTTCTCCACCTTCTTGCTCCCTTCCCCCCCTGCTCGTCCCCACTCCCTTTTCCCCCCTCCTCCCTTGCCCTTCTTCCCCCCACGTCGCCCATCCCTCCATCCAACCATGCGGCTGTCATAACGAGCTGGCAATATTGGAGTTCATCCACTGCATCATCGAGACCATGGACCGATACTTTGGCAACATTGTCAGTCACACTACATGCTCACCCCCGTGCACTGCACCCCCTCCTTGTTGAAAGGCATCTATCTCTCCCTTGCTTCCTCTTTCGCTTCAGCTCTTCCCGTAGCCTCCTCTCGTTCGCTCTTCCCGTGGCCTCTTCTCGTTCGCCCTTCCCTTAGCCTCCTCTCGTTCGCTCTTTCCCGCCTCACCCGTATTTGTTGTGCGAGTTGTATTGTGATTCACTTTATCCCTTCATCATCATCGGATATGACCTCATGTCTATCATTTGAGGTGGCTCAAAACTGTCACGTGTTCAACATCGTTGTGTTGAGTCCATGTTTGTCTTCCCCACGCGCCCTTGTCTGTCTTCCCCACTTGCCCATGTCTCTTTTCCCCACATGCCCATGTCTGTCGTTCCCACATGCCCATGTCTGACTTCCCCACATGCCCATGTCTGTCTTCCCCACATGCCCATGTCTGTCTTCCCCACATGCCCATGTCTGTCTTCCCCACATGCCCATGTCTGTCTTCCCCACATGCCCATGTCTGCCTTTCCCACATGCCCATGTCTGCCTTCCCCACATGCCCATGTCTGCCTTCCCCACATGCCCATGTCTATCTTTCCCAAGTGCCCATGTCCAGATGCCCGTGGTGCTGTCCGCATGCCCAACCTATGCTGCTCTGCTATAGAGATCTGTCATTATGCTTCACCTGTCCATCATATGCCCTTGCTCCCCCCCACGTCATTGCCATTGCCATCAC